CTCTCTCCTGGAGAACGTCTTCGTGAGCCTCTCATGATTTCAGGATAGTTGAAACCCTCTTGAACATTCAGAAAGAGTGAATATGAAATTCTAATCACGAAAGGTGTTCCCCGAGGGGATACATACCTAGAGTTTGTTTTGTGAAGCACGTCAATTCTCTCCTGGGGAGCGTCTTCGTGAGCCTCTTATGGTTTCAGGATAGTTCAAATCCTATGATGCTCCGATTCAATGCTCACCGATGATCTGAGCCATGGGGCAAGTTTGTTTTCCTAAGAATCTTTTTGAACATTTCGAGAGCATATGTTTGAACATTTAGAGTGCATATGAACATATATTTACGAAAGGTCGCCTCCGAGGGGATAAATCACCATGTCGAACATTGCATTTTTGTTCCTGCCTCTCGCGTTCTCTTCTCTTCCCGCTGTCCTACCTTTCGTGTCTCCCTTCTCTCAAGTTGCATGTGAAGGCAATTCTCACAGGTGTGTGCATGTGCGAAGGCATGGTTACTTCGCAGCTTCGCTGCGCAGTGTAATCAGGCAAACCTAAAACATCCTAAAGCCATTGTTTTCCTTCGTCGTTCAGGTGGATTATTGTTCGGGAATGGTTCCAGGCCGCATTCAGATGTATATAGATGTGTATATATATAGGAGTATATATAGGATATGTTACATTATATTACCTCAATTGGTTGCGGCCTGTGCGGCGCGCTCGCGAATAAACCCGCGTGTTGCCAAAACAGGTACCTCCCGTGCTGTTTTAGGGTATATAATCATAGTACAAAGCCAAATCGTGTGGATGCCACAGATTTTTTTCGCGAAGGCGTTGTACATGGGCAAAGATCCCCAATGTTGTGTTTTGTGAAGACACCACTTGATACTCCTTTAGGTGCAAAGGCACCCTTTGCACAGAAATGCGCGTCGAGAAGGCAGCTGTGCAGGTATGATTCCAATGTATAGGCCCAGCGTTTTTAAAAGAAACGCGGCTCAACTTGTGTGCAAACTTGCAACAAACGTTCTTTGCTGCAATTAATGGGTTGGCCTCATGGTTTGTCCGCAAGTTGATGTGCCAGGTTTAACCAAAGGGGAATTTTGTATAGTGTTTCCTTAGTTGTTTCCTTATCTCGTTTAATTTCTTGATATTTTGTGCAATGTTCTGCTTCACTATTGGTTGGTCAGGTATGTTAGGTTAGGCGCGAGGGTCAAGCAAGGCAGAGGCTCAACGTGTTTGACAATGAAGCTAGGCAGCTGAGTTCTAGTGTGACTATTCTTGGTTGTAGCCCTGGGTTGGCTGAGGATTTGGATCTCCGAGTGACGCAGAGAATCTGTTGCATCCTCCTTTGCCGAAGGCAGGAGGAGCAATGCATGAAAATGAAATGGCCCAATTGGCAATTGCCAGAACGCAAGAGCTAGTCTGGAAGCCAGCAAACTTGCAGTGGTGTTTGGCATTGTTGGCACATGTTGGCACCATCCAATAGAGCGACTTGACTTGCGTGGAGCATATGATCTTTGCACAATCCTGGCCCAAGCTGTGTAGTATTCGGTGCACCGTTGAGCCCTTGACTGAAATAAGTTGAAGCAGTGTTCAATTTGGGCTTCACATTGGCCAACAAAAGTATAAAACACTGAGCCAAATGAATGACAATGGGCAAAAGAGTCCTGATGAGTTGGCCTTTCTTAGACTTCAGTCCCAAGCCTCGATGCTTCGCCATGGTGTGTCATGGTTATTGGCATGGAGTTCAGTGGCAACGACTTGCCTCGCATTGACTAAGGGGCCTGTCAATCAGACAGTGGATGACAAAGCGTCCCATGCACCCCTAGCTACTCCAGACCGGAGTTCAGAGGCTGTAAACCTGTCATGGGATTCCACTGAGGACATGCACAATACTACTCCAGATTCAGATTTGCAAAGCACAGCAGGAATGGACGACGACACACTGTGGGAGAGGAAACTCATGTTTGCTGGCATCATTTTGGGCAGCACTTTGATCTTGGTGCTGTTTTCTGTTTGTGTGCTGAAGTGTCAGCAGGCCAAGAAGTCGTCAAAGCAAGTACAACCTGATGGGAGTGGATGGAAACACGAGAAAAGTGGCGAATCAAAGTCTGGTGGTGGTACCAGTTACAAATATGAATCTCTCTTGAAGGGCAAGAGCAGCGACAATTGTGAAGATGATGCCGACGGCCAGGGTTGGGCAAAGAAGATAGAGTCATTAGTCTAGGGTGCAGGGTAACATGATATGAATAACTAAATATGTTAATATAGTATATAAGGATATTCAACAATCATCCATATACTGTAATACACTCATGACATGTCATGACCGTAT